ATTGTCCATTGTGGGTGTAGACCCCAAGCCTTCGACAGGCCCAAGCCAACCGAATCTGGAACGAAAAGGCGATACTCAACAGTCTGGGGTAATACCCAGCTAACAAGGGGTGAGGGAGGACAGAGCATGTCACAAAACGATATGCAGAGTGGATAATGCAATGAAGTATGTATACTAACACAAATACAAATACTTAAATGTAGAGAAAGAAGGCGCAGCGCGAAACGATTAATAGGAATGCAAATGCCATTGGCTACCTCAAAGCTTCCAACATTCGAGTAGTATTGCTAAAAAGGTGAAACGGCATATCGGGAGGAAAAATTAAGAGGTATGGTGTGTGGGTTTACTATGAGAACTGGGTGACTATACTCGAGGGAGTATTCACCGATAAGCTTTATATTCCACTGATTCCATCAATTGAAAATTTGAGAACGGCTGGTGGTAAAGCTGGAAAAGATTCAGGAAAGGTGAAAGCAAAGGCTATCTCCCGTTCTTATCGGGCAGGACTTAAGTTTCCCGTTGGTCGCATTCATCGGTACTTGAAAACACGAACTACCAGTCATGGCCGCGTAGGAGCAACGGCTGCTGAGTACTTTGCTGCCATCTTGGAATATTTAAATGCAGAAGTTCTGGAGTTGGCAGGAAATGCCTGTAAGGACTTGAAAGTGAAACGTATCACGCCACGTCACTTGCAACTCGCCATCCGTGGAGATGAGGAACTGAACACCTTAATAAAGGCCACCATTGCCGGTAGTGGTGTGATTCCACACATTCACAAGTCCCTGATCGGTAAAAAGATCCCACCAGCAAAATCACTGGGCATGTAAGGTTCGTCCATCTATACGGAACCTTCGCATTTGCGGAATGTATTCGCCGGAGTAAATTTACTTCTGGATATTCCCCGTATCAGTACATTGTCACCAACCACCACCCTCATCACTCTACCCTCACTTGTGTTGAGAGTCCACTCATATTATTTTTCCAATTTACCGTTCTGCTTTTCTACTCTGTTCGCGTCCCACCCCGAATTCCCATTTCCTGTCTGTCCATAGTTCTATTCTATGTACAGGTATTGTCAACGTTGAACTAAGCTGTGAATGTCTAGGCATGTTTTTTCTTTTTTAATTTGGTGTAGGTTACGGCTTACATATTGAAGTGATGAATGATTCACTGTTTTGGTTTATGCATGTATGACAGCACTAACGACGAGAACATGAAGTTTGAGGCTGTATCAGTGTACTTAAATGCGATTTAGACGTGAATGTAAACACCGCTACCTGGTTAGCGTGTGTCACGGATTGTTGAGACTAGACAGAACATGACCGGTTGGGATGCGACAGAATGAGAGTATCTTCCAACAAAGATCAGGAAAAGGATCACAGTTCTCGTAATCGAGTTCATCCAAAGCGCAACAGTATGACACTGTCTTGCTAAGGCAAATATAACCAAGAGATGCAAATATTTCACCGGTGTAGCCCGCGACATTCCTCTTCATGTCAGAACATTTGACAAACAATCTGGCGGTAAAAAAATAGATGAGGAACTTAAAATGCGTACCGCAGTCAATCTCACGCAACTGCATATTGAGAAGGTACCACAAATTTCCTCCCCCAAAAAGGGCATGAATCTATCCTTTGCCCCACTAGTCGTCAGTACTCTTGACGCCAGCTTTGCTGGCATAACCACAGATAATAATAATAATAACGGCATATTTCACGAAGCCCGTGAAGCATGCTAGTGCGCATGATCAAATGTACAACAATGTAAAAAATGACGATCCAAACAAAGATTAAATGTACAGAGTGGGTAAGAACGTAATTTTCAAACGGGTACAAAAAACATCGTAACCATGCATTGCGGTGAAAAAGAAACACAAAGCGGACAAGGCTATATAATGAGGTACTGAGGGTGACCTGATATGGAGCTCACATCAATGTATATGATTGACATATGAAGAACATTGAGGAAGACACAGAACTGGAGGTGAAAAAATCCACTCCGGAGATAATGCGCGGAAACGAGTTCGAAGAATAGAAGGAGGGCAGTGAACGTGAAAGCTTTAGAATTTCAGAGGAAGAGCTGCGGTCGAACCAAGGAGGTGCAACGGAACACAGTAGGACGACAGCTGGATCATAAATAAACTGTTTCAAGGATCAATACAGATTAACTGACTTCTTGAACAAGGAGTAAAGAGCTTCGAAGCTTCACCGTTAATGGATGACTGGTTTATATTATTTATGTTATTTAGGCGTTGATCGCTTTGATGTGGGACTGACTACACGCTAGACACCCAACCTTAAAACACCTTGTAGGTGAGGCAGGATGTGGGATACTCAACCTGGTCCGGAATACAGACGCATGTAGTCTGAACAGTGGATACAACCGAACCCAACAACCATTGCCGGAGCCAGATTGTCCATTGTGGGTGTAGACCCCAAGCCTTCGACAGGCCCAAGCCAACCGTATCTGAAACATATAGGCGTATCAGCCATTAACGGGATCCTCCACCGGAATTTGTGATCATTTATCAAACCATCTCAGGCTCCAGAAATGTGTGTCAAGTCTCATTCATGTTGCGCTCCGATCGCCCGCTACCTGAGATGGAGTGTTACTAGGTAATCCACCACCCAACGCAGTCGCCTCAGCTCCTACCCCGGCGTAACCTAAATCCTATTTCGTCAAGGATATGTATCTAAGAAACATTCCTCCTGCACGAGAATCTGTACTCCTTGTAAGCGTTGCCAGGTTAGTCCCAGAGCGAACGCAAAAACCTGGCTGTAAGAAAAATAAGACTTGCCAGCCCCGCTTTTCTGTCCCCGTAGACCACCCTCGCCCACCAGGCAGAGTGGAACTCCAGGAAACCGGCAAGTCAATCTCGCCAGTACATAACATGAATGCCAAACACATGGCACCACTCTCCAAGAAGGTCTCCCGGGTGCCACGACCCCCTCAGGGGAGAAGGATCGAAACAATCCCACTCTAAAACTCCCCCACGACCCCTGCTATCCTACTAGGCCTGCTGAAATACATAGTGAGCAGATGCTGAATTGCGTATCAACCAGTTGCCTCAGTATAACTAATGATTTTCTTAGAACTGCCGCAATTGACGCGCTACAAGAAGCCACGCGTAATAGCCCTAACTGAGTCTTGGCTCAATCAAAAGATGCTAGATGTTGAAATAGTTATAGATGGTTTCACCTTGTTCAGACGACTCAAATCGTTGTCGTGAAAGTGGAGTGACTCTCTTCCTTAATGATTCCCTCCCACCTGCTTTGCGTGTTTCTCTTCCTACTATTCAATCGGTTGTAAACCTGTGGGTCAACATCTTCCTCTCGAACACGGATTCACTCCTCCTGGGGGTTGTTTCTTGCTTCCCATCAAGCACACAGGAGGAATGTCAATCCGTTCTAACTCAGCTTCCTGACCTGCGTCCCCTTATAAACCTCTTCAATGAAACCTCGTGGTAGCAACACGTAGTATCTTCCACGAGATATCATGTCGGTCAATGCCCGTCTCTGTTGGATCTTGCGATTACCAACGAACGACGCCAGATGGACATGATATCGTATCTGAGTTCTCTTGGTAAAGGTGATTACCTCCTGCTATCATCTAACTATATCATTCGCTGACCAAATTTCAGACCCTCTTCCAGAATTCGACATTCCTTCAAAAAGACCGATTTTGCTCTCTTACGAGAATTCTCGACCAACAGAGTGGGCTCCTGCAATATTGATACTGACCCGAATAACCGGAATGAGTCGCTCGTGAGTCTAATTCACGAAGCGGACCACTTGTTTATTCCTAGACTTCAAGCTGTATTTGACCATAGGCCTCCACTTCTCCGCTCGACTCGGCACCTAATGGACGAGCGGGCGCGTTCAATCGCTAGACTAAAATGTACTGGACCCAACGCTGATGGTGTTGAGTTCACGCGAATCCGCAACTTATGTAATCAGAGAGTTAAGGAATTCCACAAGAGAAAGCAAAAAGAAATTCTTCTTCGTGCTATAAATAACCCTGATTCCCTATTTAAATCACTCCAACCTAAAAGGCAACCAACCCCCTCTGCACTAGCTCTCAAGCTACCTGAAGTCTTCCTTGTAACCTCCTCTGCTCACCTCACTAAAATCTTCCGGTCTCATTATGAATCCGTCTTCTACTTTCCTTCCGTCTCTTCCCACCTCAATTTTCCCCCTCTTAATGACCGCCCTCATTAGAACATTTCATCATTCTTCCAGGGGAGACCGAATCATTCCTCAAATCCCTGAATCCCTTTGGTTCAATTGGATCAGACAGTGTACACCCTCGAGCAGCCTTGGTCCTTGCCCCATACTATTCCACCCTATTGTAAAAGTGTGTAGATGCAGGAATATTTTCTTGATCCTGGAAGAGAGGCATCATATCTCCTCAATTTTAAAAGGGGACCGGAACACTCCTAGTAATTATAGAGCCATCAGTCTGATTGGCATACCAAAGAATTCACAAACACACATAGTCCTGAATGTTTGGCTATTCAAGTTGACTGAAACATTTTGAGCACAACTGTGATGTTTTGACACTTTGACAAGAAGTACCGAATTCACGAACGCAATCAGCAGTGGTTAATTTGAAAATGAATAACTCGGAGTGGAATGGGCCACAATTGAATATATCGGCTAATGGACATTTGGTAACATAATCAACTCGGGGCACTTGGGCTCCACACTCGGGTAAAGAACATCTGCGTTTATTAGCACTCAAGTTTTACCAACTGGATCGACTTCAATCACAATACCGGCTTGGAAAATCTGCACATGAAGCGTCAAGGAGTCGAAACGTTTCCTGGTCGTTCAGACTGAATTACCATCAAACATAAATAAACCTAAACCCTGGATCAATCTTCTTTACATTTGTTATTTCGACGTTTGCTAACGAATTACGGTCAATGATCATTTATTC